CAGGCCAGGAGGTAGGGGGACATCAGCTCCCCCATGGGCTCGGTCTGGGTGGAGGCCTCAGACCAGCCCCGGTGAGCCTTGTCCCCCTGGGCAGAGGCCCCAGCAGCACTCCTCGTCGACACCATTCTAAGCTGCTGTTTGTAGATCTGTGTGGTGTCTACGCCCTACCCGTACAGGAGTCTCACTCCTGGCCCTCCCGGCCCGACCGCCGGCGCGAACGCCTGCGCAAACGCCGGCACGCTCAGATGGGTCACAGAGCCCAAAGTCCCCACACCTAGCAGAGTAGTCAGCAGTGATGACCTCAGGGGGATTGTTCTGATCTTCAGCATGAAGATCTCTTAAGTACCTAAGACATTCATCTTTTTGATCCTACTGCTCGGGGCAACATGGTACAATGGTGCCAGGAGCCATCAGAGAAAGGAAGGGCCCAGAAATGGGCCCTGTGAATAGCTGGCCAAACCAACTTCAGAGAGGTTTGGCAGGAGCAGAAAACCAGGTGGTTTTTTTTCCTTTCGGTGTTATCCGATTTTTTTGTACTTTTTTGTCTAGACAGATCCCAAGGGCTGGTCTGTGTTGCACGTTTCGTAAGCTTCATTTCAGATGAATCCAAACTGCGTTTGCTTAGTTCAGCTGCATGTTAAAACTATATGAGATGGGCCAATTTTCTTGAGGTTTCAAGTAGATTGTGTCCAGCTCCTACCATCAGGCTTTCTCATAAGCCCTTGGTGGATTCTGAAAATGTTTAAAGAGAGGGGATAACATGTTTACTGCCAAACAGAAAGTGTAGACAAGAAGCAGGTGCATCCTCAGTGTGACCTCAGATGAAGAAACAGGTGCTAACAAAGAGCCAGTATTGAGAGAGAGAAGAGCCAATTTGGTTTCTGTTCATATGCATAGTGAGATTGGACTTGCTTTTTAATCTCTGACCAGTTTTCACGGTGGAAGATCCTACATGTTGATAACTGCTGCAAAAGATGTATGCCAGTTCAAGGTTTAATGCTAAGTAGCGAGCATCTTTCCCAGTGAAGGAAACTTAAATGTTTTGCCTTTGGCACCTCAGTCACCTCTCACCAGAATGATGAGAAAAGTGAAGAGCGGGTCAATGAGATGCTGGCATCAAACAGGCATTGAACAATGCTCTCTCGTGCTCTCTCTCTCTCTCTCTCTCTCTCTCTCTCTCTCTCTCTCTCTCTCTCTCTCCATCCATCCTCTGTAAAGGCCAGCAGTTGTGTGTCTGAACACCCAAGTGTCTCTTTCTTTGACTTTCCATTCCTTTGGGGACTCCTGATAATTGGCATTTTCAGACTGGAGTGAAAAGTGTATTTCTCTCTCTGTTCATAATGTTAATAGTTTTAAAATCAACTTAAGGAAAGGCTACAAGACACAGGCAGGAAACAAGCTGAGCATAGGAGGGAAAGGCAGGCAAGGAGAGGCAAAGCAGGAGAGGTGCAAGAGCCATAGGGCAATATTGATACTAGTGGGTCTGCCATATACTACATGTTTGCATCGAGGGCTGGCCAGATGTGGATGCCCAAAGGCAGGGCTGGGGAGAAAGCACCAGGAGCAGCCTTAGTGGCCTTGCACTTTACTGCATCCAGCAGGTGTGGCTTATGTGGGCAGGGTTTTATCAGGCCCACCCTGTTCCCCTTGTAGAGGGCAGCTGAGCTTGACCTGAGGCTCACGCCAGTCTGATGCAGGTGCCAGGCTCCTTCTACCAACTCCAGCTGGGGCCAGTGGAGCAGGACAGGTTTTAAAGGCATAAGCTGTCCCTTGGTCTTGAACAACAAGAGCATGCTCGTGTGTGTGTGTGTGTGTGTGTGTGTGTGTGTGTGTGTGTGTACAAGCATATATATATGTATGTGTATATATGCTTGTGTTATATGTTTAATGCATAAATACTATAAATTAAATATTATAATGTACATATATAAACAATGTCACACACATATACACATACGTATACACAAACGCATATATTTATATATACATACATACACACACGTGTGCATATATGTATATATAGTGTATGTGGTGTGTGTATGTATATAAATAAATATTTTATATATCAAGAAATTGTTTATATATGTACATTATATTACTTAATTATAACTGTACAAATTACATAAATAAATAATGTCCATTCCCCAGAGTGATCCTCTTCCTAAAGCCATCACTGCACCGCCCTCATCGCAAAAAAGAGGGAAACCCCCCTGCTAATTGCTGCTGCTTTGATTTTGTTGGCAGCCTAGATTTTTTGCTTGTTGTTCCCTGAACTTTTAAGTTTCTGCAAGTAAAGATAAGTTCCTCTTTGCCAAGGCTGCTCATTCTCACGAGAGTTTAAGCTCTCCCCACTCCTCCTCTGCTCTGGGTCTCCTAGGTCCTCGCAGGGGAGATGAAAGCAGTCAAGAGGAGTTAGAGGATAATGCTTGTCACTCCACCAGCACCTTTCATCCTGGGATCTCAAAGGGCTTTGTAAACATTAATTAATCTAGCCTGCCAACCACGGAGAGTTGGGTATTCCTCTAATCATAATACCTCTTAATGATGTGTAAAGTGTGTTGCCAAAATAATTAGTGGCTGCCAAAGCTCCCACAGTGAGTCTGCCTGGGCCTGGGAGGAGGCAGGAGCTTGGGTATGAGGCAGAGTAAAAAAGCCTAGAGAAGCAAGATTGGAAAGGAGTGTGGGCTTCCCACACTGTCCCAGGGCAGCTCAGCAAGCAGTAATCTAGTGCCACAGAGTGGTTATTACTCTCTATTCTCTCCTGTCAGGTTGTTTTGTACCTCCAGGCTTTCATGTCACTCGCGTATCTCATATTTACTTTCCAAAGCAAATATATTTTCACTCCAGGATGATGTGTGCGAGTCAGTGCCGGTTCCTGATGGCATAGTCAGGCGCATTCTTAGGAAAGTGCTTCTTGCCTGTCTGGTTGCTTTAAATACCTTGTGGCTAAATGCTTTTAAAATTTCCAGCCCACCCAGCCCCTTTACCTCTATGAAATCCCCCGGGGCAACTTGGCCTTGGTCGCTTCTAACACTGTGGTAGCTCTTCAGGCCGCAGCCGGTCCACTTCGCGTTTGCATCCTGACCTCTCCCCCCTTCTTGGCTAGATGGAGGGGAGCTGTAGCTATAATGAAGCAAGGCCCTTTTGTCCTTTTAAATATTTCATAAAGTAGAAGTTTATTAAAAAAATTGAATCAAGCCCTTCAGGGAGCAATCAGTCTGCAAGCTGCCCAGCAAACTGGGAGCCGGACAGCATCTCATTCAGAGGCTGCAGACAGCTGTCAGTGGAAGGGCAGTGCTGGCTTTTTCGGCCCTGCCACTCCACCCCCCCACCCCGGCCCCCGTGTGTTTGGGGAGACACTGAGCTCTTCCAGGCTGAGAGCAGACTGACTTCAGTCCATCTGCTCAGGCCTTCTGGCTGGGGGAATTTTGAAGGCATCATTGCCCTAGTGAGGCTTACATTTCACAGCCCTTTTTTGGGTGGGGGTTTGTTTTTGTTTTTTAATAGATGAACTTTCATTTTAATGACTCCATAGATGAGGTTCTTGAAACAGAGGAGTCCAGGAGGCACCATATCGAGCCTATTCTCTGGCTCAAGCACCGACCTCTTCCCATAAAATAGCATCCCCTTAGCTGGATGATGAGTCCCTGAGAGCTGGCCCACCACACACCTGCACTTACAACCAGGGCTTTATAGTTCCTTCCAATTGCACTGCTGGGCTGATAATTAAGGAATTGCTTCTTGGCTTGGGAAAGAGCTTGACCCTGATGAGAGAAGTCCTCAACACTGAAGGTTTCAGTAGAGGTGTCAAACACACAAGTTTCCTTGTTCTCCCCCATTAGCAGACATCCCCTTTTCCCTTGCAGGCCAAGGCTGTGTGTGCTGCCTATTGCTTTCACTTGGCTTGTCTACATTAACAAGCCTGTGCTGGCATCACCATGTGGAGAGGTGCCCTCTGCATGAAGCATTTTTTCCCCTCCAGTCTAGCCCTTCACCCGAAGGTACAAGCTAAGTTAGCAAAAGCCCTCTTCTGTCATTACAGCTGCCCCCGCAGCAAGGGAGTTGCCAGCTTAGCTGTGTTGGTTGCAGGGGCATGATCTTTCTGCAGCGCTTGGCCCCGGAGCTGTACCAGCACGTCTCTTAGCTGCAGAGCAGACCAAAGACCCCACGTGAGGCATGGTGGCTGGGCCATCTCAGTGCACCTCTATGGAAGCTGCTGCCTGGGAGGTGAGCTGGGTTGCTAACTTCTGTTACCTAGATCCTTGGCCCTTGTGGAGATGCTGTTTTGCAGAGGACAGGGCCTCTCCATACTCCCCAGTCCACCGATCTGAGACCAGCCTCTGACTGGGGAAGGAAATGTTGCTTTCCGAAGGCATGAGAAGGGTTGGTAGCCATCCCCCTACATGCCTGGCAGCTGCTGACTTGGCAGAACAAGAGGCTTATTTCAATGTGTAAGGAAAGCGGGTTATTGCTGAAGTGCTGCAATTCTGTCTTGCTTATTGCATTGGCTCTTCTGTGAGGAGCAAGCAGGGGTTCTGTTTATGTGAGATTTTCCTTCCCTCTATTAGAAATGTATTTGTGGTGTGGAAAGAAAGAGGTCCTTTGAAGGGGAAACTGGGATATATGTGGGCATCTTTCCTTCCGGGCACACCAACCAATTAGAAGCAAAAGTGCCTGCAAAAATATAATTGGGATGATAGACTGGATTTTAATGTATCGCGGAGTAAGCGAACTCTAGCAGAGTGGCTGAGAGGTGACCCAGGGTCTCTTCTGCTTACTAACAGCTTGCAAAAGGCACGGATTGGCATGGGGCAGCTCATTCTGCCAAGTGTATAGATTATCTGACCAGTATTAAGTCCCTCCTTGAACTTGGTCTTGAAGCAGTCAGCTGTGAATAGATGCTTAGCCACTGTGTCACTGCGACAATTTTGATTGCTTTCGGCACTGGAAATCACTGCACATTTAATGCCAGCAATGATTTTAATGTATCTGTATCATAGGGCTGCTTATAAAAACAGAATGTATCTTGGCACCTGATATTATTTCATTCCCCACACCAGGTACAATAAAGATTATCCAGTAATTGCTGTGGCCAGCAGAGCAGCATAATCTGTTCTAGAGACAAGGAAGGAGTTGGGTCCCCTTTAAGTGTTATGCCATGTAGTGAGGCTGCTGCTCCATACTCTGAATTAGTGCATGTAAACCTTTCCCTCAGCCTCCGCTTCTTGGCGTGACTTTTTTCCATTTGCACATCCAGGTTTCTTGACCTTCTGGAGGTTTAAATGACAAGGCCAGTGTGTTGGAGAGAAGTGTTTCAGGAACTGTATATTGCTGTGCTTTTGGAGATGCTGGACTAATTTTGTATGCAGTGAAAAGTCTTCAAGGCTGGTATTTTTTTTTTTTTGTGTGTGCTCTGTGCTGCAAGTCCTTCCACTTTCCAATTTCAGGGCAAAGTTCAGTTGTTTAAACAGAACTTTCCTAAATGAGTTGCAAGCCAGTGGGTGAGGGATTCAGAGAGATTTTTCTTACAGGACAGTCTTCAGAAGTGATCCCATTTGATAGCTTAAAGTCTCCGGTTCAGCCAAGTATGTATAATTTAAACTATCTGAATCAACCCATTTTGGTTCAGCCTTACACCCATGCCTGGGTACTATCAACCCTCCATGACTTAAGCACCAGTTTTAAGGGCCTATTGAATCAGAAACAAACTGGATGAGGAAGGAACACCAGTCTCACTGGGTGTATATAACTCATCACTTATTAATGCGGCCTCTTTTGATGCTGCGGGAACGGATGCACTAGATAAACAGCGAGTAAAATCCCTGCTGTTTCAACGTCAGTGGTAAAACTCCCATTAATTTCATTAGAGTAAAGATTTTGCTCATGGGTTTGCATTTAATTCAATTTTCTTGAAGAAAAAAAAGGTGGACATGTACGTGAAAAATGAGGGTGCAGTGCTGGAGGCATTCAGGGTAATTAGGAAAGCTGACAAACACCATTAGAAATCCTACTAATGAATTAAACCTACATAGATCGCAGGCTCAGAGACCCATTGAGATTTTCCTCTTGGGATATCTGAGCCGTGGGGATCACGCTTCAGATCATTTGGCAGCAAGTGCTCCCAGTAGGCTGGTACACTGTGCAGGTGGTATCAGCCGGCACGGCCGTCCCTACTGCCCGTCTCCATCGTCCACTTGATCCCATCCGACAGAACCATTGTCCATCAGTGCAGCAATGGCTCCATTCCAAGTGGCAAGGGAAGGTGAGCTGCGGAGGGTCTTATTCTGACTAACTATGTCTACCATTAAAAGAGAGTGGCACGTGTGGTAGGAGACAGCCGTAAGGCTGGATGCATTTCCCTCTTGTGCTTATTAAAAAAAAGTGCTACAACAACCACCTAAAATCCTGCAACTTCCACCCAGCCACAGTAGTTTGTGAAGCTATTTTTGGAGGGTGCTGAGACACGTCAAGGAATAAAAAAAAGGGGAGGGAGGTTGAACAGTCATGCTGTCAGCCACGAGTGATGCACCAATTGCTGGAGCAGGAAGAGGGGTGGCTCCAGACTTGTCTACGTGGGGCAGGTTGTCTGCCGTCAATTGGGATGTGAATGTACAGCTGTTCTATCCTGATTGCCCATGTGAACAGTCTTGGTGCCCACCATGAGAGCCTTCGTGCAAGGTGGGGCCAGCTGCCCTCTGCCTAGGGCTTGTCTGCATGGGGAGATTATTGTGCAGTAGAGCAGAGTGAAAATGTTATATTGTTCTGTCTACCTTCACTGATTCCTCACGGAGAAGCTCTTAAGTCTACAACAGGCTCATCTACACAGGGAACTTACTGGGCAATTAGCCTGGGTGTAAATTAAAGCCCTGTCTGTGCACTTAGTGGGTACATCTACATGTGCTATTAATACATAACAATAAATAAACTCTGGCATAGTCTGCACCAGAGTTTATTATTCCTAGGCATAGCATTTACACGTGCGCCCAGGACAGCAGCATGTTGAGCCAGGGCATGTTGAGTCTGGCTGGATGAGGGCCTGGGGGATCAGTCTGCCAGCTCGGGACTGCTCTGCTCTGACTCAACATGCTGTGGAGCAGCATGAGGGTGCTACAGTGTGGGCTAGCAAGGAGGCAACCCTCACACTGTAATGCCCTCGTGCTCCAGCCAGCCCCGGTCACCATCTACGTGTGCGTTTTGGGGCATGTAACCACTCTGCTGTAGGATAGTATTTGTCCTGGACAGTACTACCCTACAGCGAAGTTAGTTAACTTACTGCTCCCTAATGCAGGTGCACATGCAGATGGTGACTTCTTACTGCAGAGCTAATTAGTCAGCACCGCAGTAAAGCATATGTGTAGATGCACCCAGTGTCAGCAAGTTTGCTCTCCTTTCAAAGTGAAGCAAGCTCCCACGTGCTACGAGTGTGCACATGGGGAGTTTATGAGGAACAGCTAGTGCACAGGAAGCTCACACCCTAACTTACCGCATGCCAAATTCCTTGCGTGGACAAGCCGTATAATGATCAGACTGCGCTTTTCCAGAAGAATAATGAGAGCAAACTAATCTTGTTAACCTGTCCCTCCCACGTGGGAGTCAGTTGACCAGTCCCTGGAGATTCCCAGACAAAATGCCACGGAAGCAGCTTGGCTAATGGCATAAATTAGTTCCTAATTTAATCAGAGACGCCCTCCAAATGTGTATTTCATCATTGCTCCTTCTAGCCCCAGCTGGAACCTGGACACACGGATTTGAGAGCATGAATAAAAATAAGTTTAATCTCCTGCAAACTTTTTGTTTCCCCTTGAAGCTACAAGCCCCTACAGTAGCCAGAGGCTCCATGGAGCCTTTGGTTCCAACTTCCATCGCCTTTAAGTGACATGAAAGATGTCACTTCTAAGCCTCCCAAGTTCTGAAGAAAATAAATTAAGCTTCTTTAACCTTTCTTCATAAGATCAGTTTCAAAAGGAAACCTTCCTGCCAAATCCATCCTTTAAAATATGCCTGCACACTTTAGGGGTCTGGCTGTTGCTGATCAGAAGCCACCAGAGACCCATGCTTCAGATTGTCTGCTGTTATCCTGCTGCCTGCTTTTGCTCTCATTAGTCTTTGTTGTTTTTTTTTTTCTTTCTATTGTGGCATTTCTTGCTTTTGCTCTGCCATGTCTGGCTTTTCACAGGGGCACGGGGTCATTAGAGTGACTGCGGTGGAGTGTGGACCTACCCAAAGTTTAAATTGGCTAACGTGGGTACTGTTAGAATGGGACTCAGCACGGGTTATAAACTTGCTTGGGAAGAAGGGTATATTGCCTTGAACTGAACTTTGTGCTGTTACAGCTAAGACTGGTACTGGTACTCGAGATAACTAGTTCAAGTAATTAGTCATTGCAGTCATATTGTAGAGTAACTTTGGGAACAGCAGAAACATGCTACGGCAATTTCCCCTGCTGACTGCATATCTAACATGCAATTATATTTCTTCACAGTCTGTTAAAACTGCCTATATAAGTATCTTTTCTGTTTTGTTTCCTGTTAATTGCAGGGTAGCTGGTTTTTGTAAGTGGGACAGGTGGTTCGGTGGGAAGGATCCTATTGTTGGAAATGTGTCTGTGTCAAGTTGATCAGGATGGTGAAATTTGTGCTGTGCCCAGAGTTCAGCCCTGCTGTATAATGTGGTTGGAATCACTGCTATCATTTAGTAAGATGGGGTCCGAGGCCAGGCTAGATGTTTTCTACTGTTTGGTGTTCGTGCCCTGGGAATTGGACCTGTTACTTCAGCATTTCAATTGCATTGTGTTCTAACGAACCTCATTCCAATTAGCTTTGCTCCACCTCTTTTTTTTCTTTTCAATGTAAATAACTTCCCTAGTCTTGACTAGGTATTCCCAGTCCATCTGATCGGTAGTAACTGGCTTTGAGTAGGAGCGACTGGAGCTGTGTGGACTTCCACCAGAGCTAGGTGAGTTGTGTCTGCAGTAGTTACAAACCCAAAGGTGAGCCCTTGTTTTTCAAAACCTTCGTGAGCTTTCTGAGCCGGCCAGGCCAGAGACTCGAGTGAAGGTCCAGTCGTTGTACCACAGGTTATGGGGTGGGGTTTGTCGGGTTTAGTTGAAGCAGTGTCGAGCTCCGCATTTTTCCCTTCAATAATGACACTGCTTTTGCAGGGTACTCCCTCTGACTAAGCCTGACTTACCGTGAGACCGTCCTCAGGCTATAAGTATCTAGAAAATA